GGACAGAAGGGTCAGGGGAGACATGATAACGGCATACAAGATACTGCGGGGAATAGACAAGGTGGACAAAGACAGGATGTTCCAGAGAGGGGACACAGAAACAAGGGGCCACAATTGGAAGCTGAAGGCTCAGACGAGTCACAGGGATGTTAGGAAATATTTCTTCAGTCATAGAGTCGTCAGGAAGAGGAATTGCCTAGCAAGTGACGTAGTGGAGGCAGGAACCATACATAGTTTTAAGACGAGGTATGACGAAGCTCAGGAAGCAGAGAGGATCTAGTAGCGATCAGTGAAGAGGCGGGGCCAGGAGCTGAGTCTCGACCCCTGCAACCACAATTAGGTGAGTACACACAACAACCTCACATAGGCCCCTGCCAGGGCTCCCGCTCCCCCAGTCCCAGTATTCTCCCAGGACTACAGTTTTAACAAAGTTGAAGATTTAGTACAGGAACGCAAATGGAATAACGAATAAATATGATGAGTGGCATGAAAGAATCAATGAGAAGTCCCCAGACATCATAGCAGTCACAGAAACGAAACTCACCGAGACAATAACAGACGCAATCTTCCCACCAGGATATCAGATCCTGAGGAAAGATAGAAGTAGCAGAGAGGGAGGAGGGGTTGCACTGCTTATAAAAAAAAACCAATGGAGATTTGAGGAAATGGAAGGCGTGGACGAGATTGGAGAAAGGGATTACATAGTTGATACAGTTCAGTCTGGGGAACATAAGGTAGTCTTAGCAGTAATATATAACCCACCACAGAACTGCAGGAGGCCAAGAGTGTAATATGAAGTGAGAAACAGAGTGATGGTGAACACTCTGGCTGAGGTGGCAAGAAAAGCTCGCTCGAGCAGAGCAAAGTTACTAGCTATGGACGATTTCAACCACAGGGAGATCGATTGGGAAAACCTAGAGTGGACAGAGACAGGATGTTCCAGAGATGGGACACAGAAACAAGGGATCACAATTGGAAGTTAAAGACTCAGATGAGTCAAAGGGATGTTAAGAAGTATTTCTTCAGCTACAGAGATGTCAGGAAGTGGAATAGTCTGGAAAGTGAGGTAGTGGAGGCTAAAAACATACATAACTTCAAGACGAGGTATGATAAAGCTCATGGAGCAGGGCAAGGACCTAGTAGCGATCAGTGAAGAGGCGGGGCCAGGAGCTGAGTCTCGACCCCTGCAACCATATATAGGTGAGTACTGATAGCGGAAAGGGGGTAAGGACACAGTGTATCACACTGATAGCGGGGAGCAGATAAGGACACAATATAACACACACATAAGCAAATTCTTCTTCACTTAAGAACATAAAAAAAAAACATAAAAACGAAGGAACACTGCAGAAGGCCTACTGGCCCATGCGAGGCAGGTCCAAGTCCCTACCGGCTTAAGCCAATGCACCCAACCTAGTCAGGTCAGGTCACACTGACTTAAGGGAGGAACACGGCAACCGACCTGTTAGCACAAGCTATCAGGTCTAACTCACACCCACCCACATCTACTCATGTATTTATCCAACCTATTTTTAAAGCTACACAACGTTCTGGCCTCTATAACGGTACTTGGGAGTTTGTTCCACTCATCCACAACTCTATTACCAAACCAGTACTTTCCTATATCCCTCCTGAATCTGAATTTTTCCAACTTAAAACCATTGCTGCGAGTCCTGTCTAGGCTAGATATTTTCAGCACACTATTTACATCCCCTTTATTTATTCCTGTCTTCCACTTATAAACCTCAATCATATCCCCCCTAATTCTACGTCTTTCTAGAGAGTGCAGTTTCAGGGCCCTTAGTCTATCCTCATAGGGAAGGTTTCTGATACATGGGATCATCTTTGTCATCCTCCTTTGTACATTTTCCAGAGAATTTATATCCATTCTGTAATACGGTGACCACTTCCACTAAACCGTAAATATAAATTGATCCCAGGTAAGCTGAGCAGAGTTAAGCTGCATTACATTAACCGTTTCAGTCAAAATAGTTCGGTAAAAAAGAAAAAATGAAAATCTACACTTAATTCACGTAGATATTTATAAATCACTACAGTGTCTATACTTGCACATACACATATCCGTAAATATCCAAATACATAAATAAACGACTACACAAAAATGTAATTAAACCCATACATATATATGTACACCGTCAACATTGTACATGGTCCCAAAGATGAGGGGGTACTTGTACCTCCTCCCATGGGGGACGCGTCAGCACTGTCACCATGCCTGTTATAAATGGCTGTAATTCCTTTTAGAAACATCGTACAAGGATAATAATTATACCAGAGTGTTGCCAGAAAGTTCAGCTATTTTTTGGTAACAATAACTCAATTTTCATATTTTTTCGAGGTTTTTTTTTCTCTCCGCCCTCCGACCTATGCACCCCCTTCCCCTTAAGTCTCGAGACACTCCCCAGATAGGGAGCCGGGCCGGGAGAATACCGGCGAATAAAAAAAAAAATTGTACACCCGTGTATGGCAACCATTACTATTGGTACCACGTTCACATATTTTAAAAAAAAGTTTAAGAGTACATATTCCATATCCATAACTGAGCTTGACAATATATCCAACACGTCAGCCATATACAGGATGAATTGACGGGCTGCTGTCAGTGTACGACGCTGTCACACACTGACAGCAGGAGGTGAGGTCACACTAATATAATGATGTATATGAGAAAGTTAAAGACATTACCATAATTTTTAAAGGGATGGACCGGTAAGCCAATAGAAGGCCTCGGTCAGATGACCAAAATCTCCAGCGTCAGTAAACACTTGTCCTGTTTTCTGACGCGCTATATAATACACTGAAAGCTGGGACAGAAGGCAACAATATTACATTGTATCAAACACTGATACCAGTGTAAAACTACAGACTAGCATACACTGACAGCAGGATGGGAAGGGAACACTGTATAACACTGAGAACACTGAGGGAAGAGCGCACTGATAGCAGTGAGGGAACGGTACACTGTACCACACAACAACAGCAGGGAGGGAACGGTACACTGTACCATACAACCACAGCAGTGAGGGAGCGGTACACTGTACCATACAACCACAGCAGTGAGGGAGCGGTACACTGTACCATACAACCACAGCAGTGAGGGAACGGTACACTGTACCACACAACGACAGCAGGGAGGGAACGTTACACTGTACCACACAACGACAGCACGGAGGGAACGGTACACTGTACCACACAACGACAACAGGGAGGGAACGGTACACTGTACCACACAACGACAGCAGGGAATGAACGGTGCACTGTACCACACAACGACAGCAGGGAGGTAACGGTACACAGTACCATACAACAACAGCAGGGAGGTAACGGTACACTGTACCATACAACCACAACAGGGACGTAACGGTACACTGTACCATACAACCACAGCAGGGAGGTAACGGTACACTGTACCATACAACCACAGCAGGGAGGTAACGGTACACTGTACCATACAACCACAGCAGTGAGGGAACTGTACACTGTACCATACAACCACAGCAGGGACGTAACGGTACACTGTACCATATAACCACAGGAGTGAGGGAACTGTACACTGTACCATACAACCACAACAGTGAGGGAACGGTACACTGTACCATACAACCACAGCAGTGAGGGAACTGTACACTGTACCATACAACCACAGTATTGAGGGAACGGTACACTGTACCATATAACGACAGCAGGGAGGGAACGGTACACTGTACCATACAACCACAGCAGTGAGGGAACGGTACACTGTACCATACAACCACAGCAGTGAGGGAACGGTACACTGTACCATACAACGACATCAGGAAGGGAAAGGTACACTGTACCATACAAACACAGCAGGGAGGTAACGGTACACTGTACCATACAAACACAGCAGGGAGGGAACGGTACACTGTATCATACAACCACAGCAGTGAGAGAACGGTACACTGTACCATACAACCACAGCAGGGAGGTAGCGGTACACTATACCATACAACCACAGCAGGGAGGGAACGGTACACTATACCATACAACCACAGCAGGGAGGGAACGGTACACTATACCATACAACCACAGCAGGGAGGGAACTGTACACTGTACCATACAACCACAGCAGGGAGGGAACGGTATACTGTACCATACAACCACAGCAGGGAGGGAACTGTACACTGTACCATACAACCACAGCAGGGAGGGAACGGTATACTGTACCATACAACCACAGCAGGGAGGGAACGGTACACTGTACCATACAACCACAGCAGGGAGGGAACGGTACACTATACCATACAACCACAGCAGGGAGGGAACTGTACACTGTACCATACAACCACAGCAGGGAGGGAACTGTACACTGTACCATACAACCACAGCAGGGAGGGAACTGTACACTGTACCATACAACCACAGCAGGGAGGGAACGGTAAACTGTACCATACAACCACAGCAGGGAGGGAACTGTACACTGTACCATACAACCACAGCAGGGAGGGAACGGTACACTGTACCATACAACCACAGCAGGGAGGGAACGGTACACTGTACCATACAACCACAGCAGGGAGGGAACGGTACACTGTACCATACAACCACAGCAAGAACAGTAGTGTCCGCGTAGTTCAAGTGGCAGCAACTTTGTCTTAAGTACAATAAAGCCTCAGGTTCAGTCCCGGCACAAGTGGAAACGCTGCACATGTTCCCTTGCAGTCAGTAGGTACCTGAGTGTTGGCTGACTGATGTGGGTCGCATCCTGGGAGAGGGAATGATGATCCCAAATGGAAATAAGTACGACAGTGTCTTTCTTGGCTTATCCTAACATTCTAACACTCTGGGTTAATAATCCAGAGTAAAATCTTCTATTCCCAACATATCAAGTGAAAAGAGGAGAGGTTAAAAAATATACCAAGAGAAGAGAGGAGAGGTCAGAATATACCAAGAGAAGAGAGGAGAGGTCAGGACATACCAAGAGAAAAGAGGTCAGAATATACCATATAATTCTTTACCTTGCTATGAGTAACTAACTGTTAGCCACTTGTTCTTCTTACACAGTTTATTCTAGTTACTGTTGTTATTCCATTCTTAATGATCACTGGGGAGACACTGGTGTTTATCACATAACACTGTGGACACTCCTGGGCACCACCACCACTCACTCGTCTCCAGTCACAACCGAGACTGAGAGAGCCCCACCTTGGTCCCAGAGTGGTCAAGACACCAGTACTATAATTATCTCTCATATTATGTAAGTAGTGCTGGGGAATGAGCGAATTACTATGTAATTCAAGGTCACGACTATCCCGGCTTCACTACTGTGTACTAAATATTTCTGAGTTGACGTCTGAGTGTTGTTGACTTCACCTGTCATACGGTGAGTGACGTCTGAGTGTTGTTGACTTCACCTGTCATACGGTGAGTGACGTCTGAGTGTTGTTGACTTAACCTGTCATACTGTAGGTAACGTCTGAGTGTTGTTGACTTAACCTGTCATACCGTGAGTGATGTCTGAGTGTTGTTGACTTCACCTGTCATACCATGGGTGATGTCTGAGTGTTGTTGACTTAATCTGTCATACGGTGAGTGACGTCTGAGTGTTGTTGACTTAACCTGTCATACTGTAGGTAACGTCTGAGTGTTGTTGACTTAACCTGTCATACTGTAGGTAACGTCTGAGTGTTGTTGACTTAACCTGTCATACCGTGAGTGACGTCTGAGTGTTGTTGACTTACCTCTCATGCCGTGGGTGACGTCGAGGAATGAAATGGTGGTCAGGACTCCCACTACACTTCATAACAGAGAAATTTTACCACTTAAACTCCACTTAATCAGTACTCTAACGTAATAGAGAAATGCCACTAGAGAAAATGATTACCTATTACTTTTATAATTAGAGTATGGGAACTATACACTTTGCACAAATAACCCGCACATTGGAGAAAGTGACTTATTACGACGTTCCGGTACGACTTGGAATATTAACTAGTAACATGGTTACATAAGAACATAAGAAAGGAGGAACACTGCAGGAGGCCTGTTGGCCCATACTAGGCAGGTCCTTTACAATTCATCCCACTAACAAAACATTTGCCCAACCCAATTTTCAATGCCACCCAAGAAATAAGCTCCGATGTGCAAGTCCCACTCAAATCCAACCCCTCCCACTCATGTACTTATCCAACCTAAATTTGAAACTACCCAAAGTCCCAGCCTCAATAACCCAACTAGGTAGACTGTTCCACTCATCAACTACCCTATTTCCAAACCAATACTTACCTATGTCCTTTCTAAATCTAAACTTATCTAATTTAAATCCATTACTGCGGGTTCTCTCTTGGAGAGACATCCTCAAGACCTTATTAATATCCCCTTTATTAATACCTATCTTCCACTTATACACTTCGATCAGGTCTCCCCTCATTCTTCGTCTAACAAGTGAATGTAACTTAAGAGTCTTCAATCTTTCTTCATAAGGAAGATTTCTAATGCTATGTATTAGGTAAGACACATATGCAACAGTTAGGTTGCATATGTGTCTTACCTAACAATCTGTCGGTATTTTATACCATTTTAATGTTCATTCTGTCAGACACTGCAACACAAGGGTATCTTGGTACAGACCATCAACTTCGACCTCTACTAGTGAGAACGGCTGGGTTTGAGAGGGACCTGCCCTCCCAAATCAACCTACGTCTCACCTCCTGGCACTATATAAGGCCCGATTCTGTCACTTCAACTTCATATTGTTTCAGACAACGGAACAATGCTCTTCTCCAGACTGAGGGACTGACCACCTCAAAACTTTAAGGGTGATGGACTGATTACATCGTCTTCATGTATCTTCTGCTTCTATCAACTTTTCTGTACTCGACTAAAGATACCTAACTGTTGCATATGTGTCTTACCTAACAATCTGTCGGTATTTTATACCATTTTAATGTTCATGCTATGTATTAATTTAGTCATCCTACGCTGAATGTTTTCTAACGAATTTATGTCCATTCTGTAATATGGAGACCAGAATTGAGCTGCATAATCTAGATGAGGCCTTACTAATGATGTATAAAGCTGCAGTATGACCTTTGGACTTCTGTTGCTTACACTTCTTGATATAAATCCCAGTAATCTATTTGCCTTATTACGTACGCTTAGGCATTGCTGTCTTGGTTTAAGGTTGCTGCTCACCATAACCCCCAAGTCCTTTTCGCAATCTGTATGGCTAAGTTCTACATCATTTAACTTATAAGTACTAGGGTTATGGGCAGGGAAATAATAAAAGTCTCTGAGGGATTTACAATAACATGTTACACAAATGGGATTATAAACAGTACAGACAAATAAATTCATTTACATACACTTCACTCTCCAAGATTCCCCTTTAGAGTATATGAGTGGTATAAACCTTGGTAATAAATACCGACAAGTGTAAGAGTACCACAGCCTCAAATGCCATTAAGGTCACAACCCTCTTCATTCTTCTAGGCATGTCCACTTTTCTTAAACCTCTGTCAAATAGCTTCCAACACAGACTAAGTAATCACATGTATCCTGGTACATACATCAGAGGTTTACATTAATAAGATTTTCCCTAGGGGCAGACGTACTAAAAGCCCAGGTCAGCACGTGTCACTCACGGGGCCATGAGCTGTAAATCAACCACTGCAACCACATATATGTGAGTACACAGGAGATATGGCCAACACTTAGATTAGTACTTCTTAGTAACTGAGAGAAGAAGGCTAATACGTAAGAATATTTTAACACTTCTCCATTATTCCGGTAGATGCCCATAAGTCTACTAAATTAAAAACAATAAACGAGAATTAAAATTACGCTTTACACAAACTTTTATGTTATATTTTCATATTTAACCCTTAAAGCTTCATATCCCTAAACATTCAGAAGCTTAAACAAACTTTACAGTTTTATTAACACTCGAAGATAGAAGTAATTCCCAAGTTCTGACAAAGTACGTCCCTCCCTCAGTTTCTTTTTTATAAGATCAATCAAGAAATTCACATTTGTTCAGGTTCTTATCCATTCTTCCACCTTTAATTCTCAATTAATTTCAATACTCTCAGACAGTGGTTCGAGCTGCTCGTCCGTCCTTCCATGGACACATGTTCACGCATCATGTTTGAAGCATTGATGGACGAGTGAACTACGAAGTCTCGGAATTTTGGTAGGCTTCCCGGGAGACATGTTAAAATATCGGGGGTTCGATTCCCAGCTAGTCATGGTATTATTATTTGCTTAAAACAACTCCTTCGTGGATGCATTAAAATGTACAGAGTTCATGGAGACTGATATTCCAAACAGAAGAATGAAATTAGTCATATAACTTCCATAGCTATGTATTTGCTGGCATCAGGGATGGCATGTACAGTGGTGCTGGGCACCTGATGTTTGAAGCATTGGTGGCCAAGTGGAATAGGGAATCTCAGGATTTTGACAGGCTTCCCAGAAGACGTGCTAAAATATCAGGGTTTCGATTTCCAGCCTGTTCAAATATATATATGTCGTGCCGAATAGGTAAAACTTGCTATTTTGGCTTAAATAGCAACGCTCTTCTTGCCGAATAAGGCAAGCGAAAATTTGTGAATGTAATAATTTCGCAAAAATCATTCTGAACCTAACAAAATAATTTGATTGTGTTTGTTTATTTTTAAATTTATTGTAAACTTATCTACAATATATTTAGTTGGATTAGGCTAAATTAAATAGCGCTTATTATAATAAGGTTAGGATACTTTTCTAAGAATCTTTTGGTAAATAATTATTAATTTTTACAATAACATAAATGAAAAAAATATATATCTTTAAATGTATAAGACAAAATTTTGGAAAGGATTTAATAAAATGAGTTCTTGCTAATTGACCAGTTTTACCTATTCGGCACGAAAAAGGGACAACCAGCCTTATTCAACTAAAAATGTTGGTTCTCCCTTACCATGAAAACTTGGTTGATATGCCTTCTCTTCTTAAGACTTTTAATATTAAAGTTGTATTTAAAAATCTTGATACAGTAAAAAAACTTTTGATAACGAATTCCCCCAAAATGCTGATGGATGTGTCTATAAGATTCCTTGTAAAATTTGCGATAAAGTTTATTACGGTCAAACTGGTAAAATCTCGAACTAAGATTAAAACAACATAAATATAGCATTAGAACTGGACAAGATTCTAATGCTCTATTTATTCATGTGAGAGATTTTAACTCCAATTGATTTTCAAAAGGCTTAGAAAGTTGTATCAGGTAAATCCATGATCGACACGAATATAACAGAATATAACAGAATATAACAGAATATAACAGAATCATGTTTCATAAAAAGTATTTTTGTAAATATTAATAATTATTTTGGTTTATATAAATTGGATTCATTTATAATTAATAAAATTTGGGAAGAATTTAATGGCACGTTAGACAAATAAATCTTAATGCTTGGGTTAAGTATTAGGTGTGTTTCAGAGTCTGGTGTTGTCACGCGACTGTGAGGTGTAGTCTTGTAGTGACGTGATGGTGAGGTGTAGTCTTGTTGTAGTAACGTGATGGTGAGGTGTAGTCTTGAACCTTTATATGCATTCCTGTTGATATTTGTCTTTCATAGTTCCTTGATAATGTGAGAAGTCACAAAAGTGCCTGGAATTTCGCTATTTTTTTCACAGTGGGAAAAAGACTCATCAGGGTAACTAGGGATCCCAGGGCAGCTAGTTTTCTGTTCCAGCGGCTCAGTGCGGCTGTTCAGAGGGGTAATGCCTGCTGTATTTTGGGCACACGCCCCAGCTTTGAGGAGCTGGATGAGATTTTCGCCTTATAATCGGTGATACACACGTAACATGTACCGTATATGCCACCTTTATATCAACAATGTATCTCTTAAATCTTCTGTACCATATTATGTAATAAAATATTCCTATTGGTAAAAAAAATACGAAAAGATGTGGTGGTAGGGGAAGTGGAATATTCAAACGGCTTCAGGATGAAATCCAAATATTCTTCCTTGATGCCCTTTAATCCACTTCTCCGAGGGTACGGGTCCCATAATTTACACTGGAGATGGACCCCGTCATATATTAAATAATATATATATATATATATATATATATATATATATATATATATAATATATATATATATATATAATATAATATAATTATTGTTACTAAATATGTATTAGTGACTAACCCCAAACACAGCACTAGTGGAATGCGTGTCACTGTCTGGGAGATGTGGAGTTAGAAGTTGTAGAGGTTATCATTCGTACTATCGGGTGCCTACGCAGTATGTACTCAGAGATAACAGAACAATATCATACTATCTGATAATAAATATTAAGCTGAAGTGCATTAACTCTACCGAGGTAGACATTATGATAACTAACTAAATAAACACGATCAGTTATAAAAGTGGTAACTCTCAACACATATGACCTGTGCAGTGACTCAGGTGTTGCCCTGAACACATGTGAGTTACTCTCTTCATGTGTATGTCGTTAATTATCGAAAATGTGAGAAATTATGTGGGTGAAGTTTTACAAGTACAAGCTTGAATTAACCTTCCACACACATAACTGGGGAGAACTCTGATTTTGATACGTCTGTATTCTTCTCCAGGCTGAGGGACTGACAGCCTCAAATTTACGACTTCAAGGGTGATGGACTGATTACATCGTCTTCACATCTCACACCTCTACTGCTCCTGCCTACTTTCTGTATCCGACTGAAGAAGCCTACTGTGTAGGCGAAACGTTTCGGAATAAAGTTGCCTAAATGTTGCCTATGTGTCTTACTTACCATAAAGTTTGTAGATGAATGGTTCAGAGAACCGACATGTTGATAAATTAGACACATGTGCAACTCTTGGGTATCTTTATTGAGGAAACGTTTCGCCACACAGTGGCTTCATCAGTCCATACGTAGGAGAAACTTGCCATACGGTTTATAAGCTGTTTCTCCGCTCATATGCCGTATTCTATTCAAGATTGATGAACTGACCACATCGACTCAAGGTTGAGGGACTGATTACCTCATTCTCCTCCTGTTCTTCAAGTTTCTCCTATGTATGGACTGATGAAGCCACTGTGTGGCGAAACGTTTCCTCAATAAAGATACCCAAAAGTTGCACATGTGTCTAATTTATTACCATAAAGTTGCCAATAAAGGCAAAGCTAATGATCAACAAAGAGAGACAGTAGAGGGCAGAGAGTGACTAGCTGCCTTAAGGTTTACTAAACAAATAGTAGGAGTCTAAAAAATGAGATAGATGAGCTAAGATTACTTGTAAGTGTAGGTAACATAGATATTATTGGTATAACAGAGACCTGGTTTAACTTGAAAGATAGAGAAATGCCTTCTGAATGCAACATACAGGGTTATAAACTATTCCACACTGATAGGGTCAACAGGAATGGGGGTGGAGTGACGATGTAAGTCACAGATAATTTAAATTGTTGTCTTAGACAAAATACAAGATTAGAAGCATCGAACACAGAATCTGTTTGGCTACAGTTTCTCGAGGGTCAAGACAAATTAATTTTGGGTGTGATTTATAGGCCCCCAAACCTTGATAGGGAGTGCAGTAAGCTGGTATGAGACGAAATTCATAAGGCATCTAGATATGAAAATGTTGTGCTAATGAGGGATTTTAACTTTAGACAAATTGACTGGAAGAATGTGACTGTTGCAGGTGTCCCATAGCTCGATCGCTAGCGCACTTAGCTCGAATTCCCCGTACGGCTGGAAAATATTAGGACATGTTTTCCTAAGGCACCTGTTGTCCATGGTCACTCATCAGTATAAAATAGGTAACTGGGTGTTAGTGGACTGGTGATGGTCGCATCCTGGAACAAAACTGACCTAATTTGCCCAAAATGCTCTGCATAAACACGCTGTATAGTCCTTGTGGCTTAGCGCTTCTTTTTTATTATAATAATATAATCTGCATAAACAGCGGCTTTCTATATAGTAGCATTGATGTCAGTTATACCTTGTACATGTACTTGTAGAAATAAAAACATTACATTATTATTTTTTTTTCAACAAACCAGCCGTATCCCACCTAGGCAGGGTGGCCCAAAAAGAAAAACAAAAGTTTTCTTTTTTTAAATTTAGTAATTTATACAGGAGTAGGGGTTACTAACCCCTTGCTCCCGGCATTTTAGTCGCTTCTTACAACACGCATGGCTTACGGAGGAAGAATTCTGTTCCACTTCCCCATGGAGATAAGAGGAATTAAACAAGAACTAGAAAGAAAATAGCAGAAAACCCAGAGGGGTGTGTGTGTATATATATATACGCTTGTACATGTATGTGTAGTGTGACCTAAGTGTAAGTAGAAGTAGCAAGACATACCTGAAATCTTGCATGTTTATTATATTATAATATGACAGGAAATCTTGAGTCTAGTGACTTTCTTGATACGGTTCAGGATTGCTTTCTAAAACAGTTTGTGATAGAACCAACTAGAGGAAGCAATCTGCTTGACTTGGTTCTTGCCAACAAAGATTCACTAATTAATAATCTTGAGGTTAATGATGAGCTTGGGGAAAGCAATCACAAATCACTTAGTTTCAATACACCGTGAAATTACCGAGTAAACTGCAATCAAGTGTCTGTCCCAGACTTCTGCTTGGCCGATTTCATGGGACTGAGAAATTACCTGGGTGGGCTAAATTGGAACAACCTAACTATAGGTCAGGTAGGTGGTGTTGGTTGCCAATATGACTTTTTCGGAGTATAGTTTTAGATGCCCATAAAACTTATGTTCCAAGTAGAGAATTTAGATCAACCAAAAATGATCCTAAATGGATAAACAATACATTAAAACATCTAATTGTACAAGAGAGGCATATATAGGCATATCAAAAGATGAGCGGTTAAAAAATCAGTATATTCGACTGAAGAGAGACATAAAAAAAGGAAAAAACAAAGCTAAAAGAGATTATGAGGCTAAAGTGGCAAGGGATTCGAAGACTAACCCAAAACGTTTCTTTCATGTATACAGAAGTAAGATTAGGGACAAGATAGGCCCACTCAAAAATAACCTATCACTGTCAGTGATAAGGAAATGTGTGAAATTTTTAACTCTTATTTCTTCTCACTTTTTACTCAGGAAGATACTAGCAAAATTCCAGAAATGATAAATTATGTAGAATAAGACGATAATAAACTGTGCACAATTAAGATAACTAGTGACATGGTCCTCAGACAAGTAGAGAAATTAAAATCGAACAAATCCCCAGGTCCTGGTGAACTGTTTGCAAAAGTTTTAAAGGAATGTAATGAGGAATTTAGCAAACCTTTGGGCTAGTCTTTTCAACATATCACTACAAACTGGCATAGTGCCAGACAAGCGGAAAATGACAAATGTAATACCTATTTACAACGCAGGAGACAGGTCGTTAGCGTCGAACTATAGACCAATAAGCCTTACCTCCATAGTGGGAAAATTTATGGAATCAATAACCGCCGAGGCAATTCGCAGCCATCTTGAATGGCATAAATTGATTAATGAATCTCAGCACAGTTTTACAAAGGGACGTTGCTGCTTTACGAATTTAGTAACTTTTTTCACCAAGGAATTTGAGGAGGTAGATCATGGTAATGAATATGATATTGTGTATATGGACTTCAGTAAGGCTTTTGATAGAGTTCCACACCACAGGCTATTGAGGAAAATTAAGGCACATGGAATAGGAGAAGAAATTTTTTCCTGGGTAGACGCATGGTTGACAGATAAGCAGAAGAGAGTTTGCCTCAATGGGGAAAAATCAGAGCAGGGGTGTGTCACAAGTGATGTGTCACAGGGGTCAGTGCTGGGCCCTTTGTTGTTCACAATTTGTATAAATGATTTAGATGAGGGAATAAATAGCGACATAAGCAAGTTTGCTGATGACACCAAATTAGGTCACCTAATTCATTCTAATTAGGACATTAGAGCACTCCAGGAAGATTTTAATAGCCTGATGCAGTGGTCGGAGAAGTTGCAGGTACAGTTTAATATACACAAATGCAAAGTTCTAAACATTGGACAAGAAAATACCCGTGCCACATATAAACTAAATAATGTAGATCTTAATAATACTGATTGTAAAGCAAACAGGATTAGGGAGTTCTGGTTAGCAGTAATCTAAAACCAAGACATCAGTACAAAAGTTTTCACAATAAAGCTAACAGAATCCTTGCCTTCATATCAAGGAGCTTAAAAAATAGAAGTCTTTAGGCTTTTCTTCAACTCTATATACCCTTGGTTAGGCCTCATTTAGACTATGCTGCACAGTTCTGGTCACTGTATTACAGAATGGATATAAATGCTCTGGAAAACTTACAGAGGAGGATAACAAAGTTGATCCCATGTATCAGAAATCTTCCCTATGAGGATAGACTGAGGGCCCTGAATCTGCACTCTCTCGAAAGGCGTAGAATTAGGGGGGATATGATCGAGGTGAATAAATGGAGAATAGGAATAAATGAAGAGAATGTAAATAGAGTGCTAAAAATATCTAGCATAGACAGGACTCGTAGCAATGGTTTTAAGTTGGAAAAATTTAGATTCAGGAAGGATATAGGAAAGCACTGGTTTGGTAATAGAGTTGTGGATGAGTGGAAGAAACTCCCGAGTACTGTCATAGAAGCTAAGACCTTATGTAGTTTTAAAAATGGGTTGGATAGATACATGAGTGGGTGTGGGTAAGTCAGATGCCGTGCTATTTTTTTTCAACGAACTGACTGTATCTCACCGAGGCATGGTGGCCTAAAAAGGAAAACGAAAGTATAGACGAGAAGGGATTACTAGCCCCTTGCCCCCGGCATTTTAGTGGGCTCTTATGACACGCGTGACTTAAGGAGAACGAATTATGTTCTACTTCCCGATGGAGAATAAACAATATTATCCCCACACACAAATCACTGGAAAATGTTCTAAATTTTCTACAGGTAGAACCAACCAAATTCATTTTTCAATGAATCTCGGTTTGCGAAACAAGCAAAGCGTAAATTTATTTTTTCAGCTGAGTGACAAGTTTGATCTTTAGAATATAGATCAAATATATTAGGTCCATTAAGAATGGTTAAAAGTTGCTAATTTAGTTTTGATGTGGAGAAAACCCGTTGCTACATATTTACGCAGTTATTTCGTAATAGCACTTCACTAGACCCCTAAAAACTACACTGATTTAAGTAATGTGTAAAATTCAGCTTCGACGTTTCACGATCAGTTTCTCTGGGCCACATAAGGTGAAGGATTTTCACAGGTCAGAGGCTTCACAACTAGTTCTATTGATTTAGTTAACTTGTTGCACTTGAGGAAAGGGGCCACGAAGCTCAGGTGGCTGACCTGATTCACCAAGTGTAGGTTTCAGATACCCTTGAGGGGTTCGAAGGACCACAAAGGCAAATTCATTTGGCTGTTTTGCACACAGCACACCGAGATTCAAATATACCACATACCTTTCTGAACTTCTCACGTCAGAGAAGACTATCAACCTCTGCCTTAACTCACAAATTCGTATACAGTGACTCTCCCTGCACTTCTGGCTGCGACCTTTCTTCATCACTTTCGGATGAGTGGTAGGGGAGCTCACTACTGCAAAAACAAGGTCAGCACAAGACAAACATTATGTACAAAACGTGCATCATGCATCTACATGAAACATCTAGAGAAAGCATCACCGACCACATTCTCTGAGCCTTTTAAATATTTGACTTGTAAATTATAGGACCGTAGGAACAAAGTACAGTGGACCCCCCGGTTCACGATATTAATCCGTTCCTGAGA